TACTGGGACATTGCTGACACAGCTTATCATTGTTTAAGATAGACAATACCCCCTTTTATTGGGAATGAATTTGAGATTAGATTGTGTTTATGCAATAATGTCATGTAGCCCCATGTCTGATATTTTGTTAAAACCATCATTTTTCTATGTCCTATTAAAAGGAATAAATTCCAAATATTTTTCTACCAAATACCAAAGTCATAATATATACCTTGCTTGTTTGTTGAAAAACAACTTACTTACAACTTACAAATTGCATTCAACACAGAACCTTCACACGTGCACAGAAGCCTCATATTTCAATATCTTTAACCTTTTCCGACATATAATAATAAAAATAAAACTAATAACAGTGTAGGTATAGGTTGAATATAAAAATGATAGTATAGAAAAAACAAAGATCGGTTGGAATCTCTTTTCACTTAATTCCTTTGTGCGGAACACCCTGTGTACGGGTGTATCGGGTTTAGAAACAGCTGACGCGACAAAAACCACCCTCTTCCTTTATCTGCGACTACTATTCAATTGAAGCACACTTTTGTGAAGTTTTTATAAGTACGAAAATATTATTAGTTTTTGTTGATTGTGGATATGAATTTCAAGCTTGAAGTGGCTTGAAATGTATTTATGGAAATCGATTAAACCAATGATGTGTATTTAGGTAAAAAAAAGATTTACACTTCGTTAAGGATTTACATTCTTTTACGAAAATTGTTATGAGTACTTAACACACATAGTTGACAACATTAACTAGGTACTATGTTTTAACAATTAGGTTCTTAATTGGGTAAATGTTTGGCATATTAACACACCTATTTATTTATTTTAGAAAAAATCTAATATGATATTAGTAGTATGCATAGAACATACAAATTATAACCTTAAAAAACAGATTGGTATCTAAATTAAAATTCAAATAAAAACCAAGTTTTCTAACCGGCCAGTATTCGATAGGAATATTCGAGTAGCAACCTTTTTTCCCTACCACATGTGCACGGTTCGTTTCCCAAGCCTGCACAGTGCACATGGCACACAGGAATTTGACACGCAGATGTTCGTTCCGCCACAGACATAATAAAATACCTAATAAATATGGCTGACTTGCACTTTACAAAATAGTTTCAATAATGCCACGCGTTTAAAATAAAATTCTGCTAATTAAGCTATAAATTATGTTGACAAAAATTAGAGCTAATTTAGTGATGGAATCTTTTATCGTCAAGAGATAACATCATTTGTTATAATATAAGACAATTCTCACTGTTTACAACAATAGTTTAATAAAATATTATCGTAAGAAAACGTTAAGAAAGTTGTGTTGTGACATCCATTAGCGCACGCGCGTGTGAATTACAACGCGCTTGGAAAGATCATCATGCCATGAAATGCCAAGCTTACAATATGCCTAGTAGAATATACTTAGCTATACGTATTTATCAGTAAAATAACTTTGTTTTATACGATTTGGCAACCATTTATTATCATTTGCAGAAAGCAACTGTACTTTCAAGTAAATATTGGTTGTTGTTATTACCAAAAAAACGTTTGTCACTTTTTACGGGACTTGGATTTAGACCAACGACATAGTCGTAAACAACGTTTTACCTAATGGTTAAGAAAGTGCTAAGTACTATAATAAACCTAATGAGAGCCAATCTCTTAAAGCTGCTTAGGTAATCAACCACGAAAGAGCAATTTACAAGAAAAACATAGCCGATAAAACCATCTTTATACCAAAACTAATAAGACGATGCAATAAAAACACAATTACCTAACTTACATATTTAGTACACTTGGAAAAGCTAACACTCAAGTAAAAAATGGTTAAAATCCAGCCTCGTCCAACGGCATATCTGCGTAATCACACGCAATCCAAAATTGCAACAAATTCTTACGATATTAACCAGTAACAAAAATAAAGTGGATATCTTCACGCCATTTTTAAAGCTAATAAGTTGGCGCCACATACTTGGCTGGATTGCAAAAGAACTTAAACTTACCTATCTAGTTACTACCTGCGCACCTAAGTTATGCACTCTTGTAATAATTGGCCAGCTATCACAAATACCAAAGAGGTTTAAAGTCGTTTAATTTTAATTTATACTTTTGACTAAAAAGGTTATATCGCTTTTTAGGTACTTGCCATAATCCATTTAAAATTTGGAACGCGTCAAAATGCGCGCCATAAATCGAAAATGGCGGCCCAAGAGAGCCATCAATTCATTTTACGATTATTTTTTAAGACTCAGGTCATAGCTGTTTGACATTTTGTTGTTGGAAATATTAAGGAGATGGACGAAAAGATTTTTATTGCGTATTGTCGTACGAATCGGAGTGGTTTGTTGATCATTTTTATTGAGACTAATTCGTTTATAACTTTCGACAAACTGTTTTAATGATGATTAAACCATTAGTTCTCAGTATAACAATGTATTACTAAGCTATTACCCATTCAAAATACTATCGCAATAATTTGTATGTTTATAACACGCAATTATAGTACATAATACGTTTTCAAGTTTAAAAATATTAAGAAAAGTCATACCTTACATAAAAGATAAAGTCACTAATGTCATTAAGTAACTAAAACATTGATATCACAAGTAGATTAACTGCATTTTTTATGAAAACATAAACATCGCGTATTTGAAATCTTTTCTTGTCTTTATAGTATGTCATAAAGTTTTACCAAAATCAGTTAAAACTAGTAAAACACTATTTATATTGACATGACACGGTAAGATTTATAATTTTGCGTGTGACAATAAAGTTGTAAATAAATATTGTCTCATAAAATAATTGTGTAAGATTAACAGACCTAACTTAATGTTTCATAGTGCGGGAGAAAGAGTGGATATTGCTACCAGACCAGACAGTCAATACTTCATTAATACACTTATCTGACTTCTCCCGACCAGGGTGAGGCGAGAGAGAGTCTCAGATTCTTACTGAATTAAAACGCCCCCGTTCCTTCTCCTGCTCTACACCGAGACCGGTAATCAATTTACATCGGTCCGAAGCTAACATTGCTATTTATCACACGATAAATACAATTAAAAATAAGCAAATATTTTTATATAATGCCTGGTTTGGTTGGTATCGCTTCAATGTCATCCGACACTTAGTTCGTTGGCTCCTCGCATTGATTTACAAATGGAATTCTAAATACTATCTGAGCAATGAATTGCGACATCTGCAAATCAAATGAGGTAAAATTGTCCGTTCCTCGCATACCGCATACGACGTCTGTTCTTGCATACACTGCCGAGTTTTTGCATAACATTTGATAATATGTGATACCATATCTCCGATAAGTAGGTTACGTGTGTGAATAAAGTCGAGGAGGAATCAAAATAAAGTCTGGAATGACGATAACTTCGAGATAGTTCTGAGAGTTTCAAGCTTGATATTGTTATGTGTGGATAACAATATTTGGCTGGTTATGCAATGTTATGATATAATAATGACACTTGTTAACGCTATTTGATATGCACGTGTTTCCAAATTTAGATTTAGATTTTTAATGTTGGCATTGTAGTTTTTCTAGGCCAATTGATACGTGTTTACATCTGATAAGTTCTGTAATCTGTTGTAACATTCTGATTCTGATCTACACTTTTATCAGAACCTAATATTGTATCAAGACATCAAAATTATACGCAATTGATAACATGAATGACACTGACACGTAAAAACAAAATCCTAGTTTTAATGACCAAAACGAATTAGAATTTCCGTTTTACACACCGAATGAAAATATTGGTGGAGTTCAAAAGATCATTGCTGACTTGTTTTCTTGTGTCAGTTAGGAACCGCAGAAGTCGGTTAAGTCCATTAGAGAGGTGTATTTCTAACATTACAAAGGCTCACTGAACGGTACCAACGGCACTTCACTTATTCACTGCAACAAAATATCCTATTCAAGGTGGCCACGCTTATAAAGGAGGCGCAGTCTACACGACCCAACAATTACACAAGCAAGTACTTAAAACCTAAGACCTGAATCAAAAACAGACTTCAGTATTTAGAAAGGTGTCTTAAAAGGTGAAAGTCATGCTTTCATGCTTCGCAAAAAACTCGCATCTCGTCGCGGCCTTGCCAAGGTGAGTGCAAGGGGGACATAACGGTGCGCTGCGCGGGCGCACCGGCCCCCGCGCACAACGAACATCAATTTTCATACACCATCGCCGACTTTGGCATCCAACGAACGTTCCCACACTATCGATCGTACGTGCCACACAACATAAACAGCAATGGACACGTCAAGACCACGTGCCTCGTCGGATATGAATATGGTTTTTGATACACTTCCTTTCAATACTGTCGTACTTAATGATCATCTAATATGGTCATCTGTGCTATAAAGTACGGTTCAAATTTCATACACGTATATCATCGGCTATGGGAAAGCTATGTAACGGTAGCCTACCTTATTGAGGTAAAGGACTGTTAGCCATTCGCGATGTTATTTGTAAACAAAGGTGTAACTCTGTAAGAGTAATTTTCACCCACTAATAAGGTATTTCATAAGCATTGTTACATCGTACTGTCGTCAACAGTAACCATATTGTCATCATGCAATAAAATCTAGGTTGTAATCTTATTGTTCTAAAGTAGGGTAACTACATTGATGGAATTTTCAAGGACGGTCTCTTGTTATGACAGCCCAATTAAATAACTGAAGCGTATGATGACCAAACTCATAGAGCTTACAAGGACATTGCTATTATGTATTGCGAATTTATTCATCATGAATAAAGTTGTTTCGTAATTTTTTGCCATAAAATTTCACATACCAGCTCTTATTAAATTATGTATTCGTAAAGTAGACCTAGAATTACATTTCTGCGAAATTACTAACCGTAAGTTTTGGTATAGAATCAACTACTTGACATTCAGCATGCATACTTGAGCTGCAGCTGCAACTATATAAATGTCCCCTCTCTTAGGAACAAATTCAATGACTTGGGAATTAACTGAATTAAAAAAGTTTGACTTACGATTTGACTGATCTCGGTGATAGGTATTGGTGTGATAGTTTTATCCGAGCTCTGGGGGAGCGATGAGGCGCTGGGAGTTGGCGACACTCCTGGGGACGATTGGCCATTCCCGACGCTCTCCTTTGATGTACGATTGGGAGACAACCTCGCTGGAAAGCTGAGGGTCTTCGTCCACTGCGATAAGCTACGCACCATCTTGATTGTTCATAAGCACAACACTCGTTCACTGAACTCTTTATGACGAGCGACACGCGCGCTCGCTGACACGGTCCGCGGACGAATGAGGAATCGAGGAGGGCAACAAATCGTACAGCCTGTGCAAGTTGCGACTTGACCGGGTGGTGGGGCGCGTCAGTAGGGTGGCGATGTGTGCGTACATGCACTTGGGAGTCTCGGACTCCGGCCACCTATGGGTTTTGGGTCGGATTTTCTTTTGTTTATCGGATCGCGTCGGCTACTTTATGTGCAAAAAGTTTTGAACGGTCATCGCAAGTCGTTGTTTTGAATTGACAGTTAATTTACAGTTGGCTATGGTGATTTAAGTTCAATAAAATCTGATTAGTCACTAACTAGTTTTGTAGGAGGGGCACAATTTTTTTATTGTTCTCTAAATTCGTGTTTACGAGTTTTCTCTTTTTTGTTCAATGAAATAAGGCAAAAGTTATTAAGTTACTATCAAAAAATTTCCTGAACTTTTAATCCATTGCGAATTTACAGCAGATAACTTCGTTGCCAGTTTAAAATATAATTATAATGTGTTTTCAAAAAAGGCATTTAGTTCCCGTACTCAAAGAGGCAATTCAACACTGACTTCAAACTCATATACCTACCTCACACATATTAGAATTAGCAACACCCTATAAACGCAGAAAATAACTTCTGTTACGAGGGTGGCACCCTACCTCTTTGCGAAAACTCCTTAGTGTGCAAATATAGACCGGTACTGCTTCCAAATGCGACTGCGGTGCTAATACGAAGCTATGCAGCGTGCAAACTTATTTTCAAATATAACTGACGTTGACTATAAATGGTTTAAATCTATGTGTATATTATTTTAACATTACATTTTTTTAATTGGACTGATGTTAAAACTTTTTCGTTATTGTAGAAATAAATTAACAAAGATGAACTGCGCCGTATTTTTATGTTTAAATTTTATTCGTCTTTCTTTCTCGAGTACTTAATAAACCCATTCCAAACGCACAAAAGGCGACATATGCTCCATCCGAAAGAAATGTCGCAGTTCAAAATTCATGGTTGGTTCAAAAGTTACAAAAAATTGAACCTTATGTTTTGTGATAAACATGGGGTGCTAAGACGCGAATCCATTACAATAGGTGCGCAGGATTGCGTGTCGAAACTTCCTGAAGCCACGTGCGCGCGCAGCTGACGCCGGGACCCGCAGCGCATGCGCGTTGAGTGCATAAATTTTTGAGGGGCTCAAAGGAAACTATGAGTGGAATAGTAAGGAAGCTTTTGTTTTTACTTCCTTCACAACGAATACTTGGAAGAGTTTCGCGTTTTTTTACCATGGATTTTTTCATTTATAACTTCATTCAACTTACCCTCAACCTCATCCTTTAGATTTAAATTTAATGATAATTTTATTAAACATTGCCCCAACTGTCACGTGCACCGCTAGTTTTTTTTTGAGATTCATATTTATACTTCTTTTTTCGATTTCTGTTATTTGTCTGACAATATCCTAATTTGAGGTCATCCTCATCTCCATCTCCATCCATCAGTAGGTCTCCATCATCACAAATATTTCAAGCTTATTTGTATATATTAAGGGATGAATTTTTGTCACTAAGTATTTCACATGAAAACTACTGAGCAAAAATAAAAGAAAATTGGCACAGAGATAGATTACAATCGGGAATAAAGCAATCAAACATACTTTTATCCTGCCTATTACCGAGACAGAAGCTACGAGTAGTATTCAATATCAACAAGACAAAACATTACAAATGACCTCATTAACTGTGACATTATTAGATAATTAGCTCCTATAAATAAATAGCTCATCTTCTTAGTCCCAAGCTCCCGTTTATACATCGCTTATTTCAAAGATGGTTGACAAAAAAGGGTCATTACTGCCCCTTTGGCGTAAATATGAGGGTTAGATGAACCCTTAGACCACCCCTACCCCATTGTTTTGTTCTTGTGATGGGGTTGGCAGATCTAGAAGTGTGCTTCATGTTAACATGGTTCTTATTGATTTTGGATCTCTATTGTTTGAGATGAAAATGTAAGTGCGTATTTCAATTATAAAGGCTTTTACTTTGTTTGGTATAAGCTTCTGAATAGATTCGAGTTTTTTAATGGAATGAGGAGTGTGGGAGAGAGGAGTTTAGTTTTTTTTTATATGTGATTGGATGATGTTAGGTACGCTGTCGGCGCCGCCTATGTACTTACATCAATAACACTAAAGGAATAAAATATAAATAATAGGATTTCGGACATTTAGGTAGGTATTATTAAGGGAAAGGAATGGGCCTCCGGTAACCTCACTCACATGGCGTAATACAACACTGCGATTGTTTCACGCCGGAATTTCGTGAATCCGTGGTTATACTACTTTCCAAATTCTTAATCATTCCAAACTTATAAAATAGCTAATAAATAAACAACGCTAAATAGAGGTTTTACTAACGATTGGTCTCTTTTATTTGTTTGTTATAGGGTTTAAAATTATTTATAAAATTAATGGCCACACATTAAACAATCCGAATTACGAAACTAGCCTTACTTAAAGGAAGAAACGACAAAATAATTTAAAATATTTCAGTATAAATGTCTTTGAAAGATTAATATCTATCATCTAAATAAGTAAAACAGATAACAACAATTTAATAATCGGAGCATGAGAAAACATAGGTATTGCCTTTATCACTAATTACATATGTAAAACATTTTAATAATTATTATTAATATTTCGCAAAGCGACCATTTTTCATAAAGAATATCTCGTAGAAATTGGATTTACTCCCAATGAAATTTAATGGCAAAAATACACACAACATTTTTCTCCAAAATGGAGATCCAACGAAATTCCTGTATCTAATAAATAGAAGCTTAGTATAAGCCTATCAATGAAATTTTAGAAAATAAAAAAATACGATAGAAGGTAAACAATATTGCAATGCTTATTAAGAATTGTATCATTATTCGATGTTCGATGTCTACAGAAATATAATGAATCCTTTAAATACATAATACATTTTTTTTTTATTTAATAGTTCGGCAAACGAGCAGACGGATTACCTGATGGTAAGCAATCAGCGCCGCCCATGGACACTCGCAACGGAGGAGTTACGAGTGCGTTGCCGACCTTTTAGGGATTAGGGATTTGGAGATTTAGGGATTTAGGAGGGATTGGGGGCGGGGAAGGATTGGGCCTCCGGTAACCTCACTCATACGTAAAAGCACATTAAAAATATTATTATTGAACAATTACTTAATACATATACATTATTGCTCACACTATCATATAACAATATTGCATGTTCCATTATCGTCTACGAATAGTAGGCACAGGATGACAACAAAAAATCTGCTTTAGAATTTAAAAAGCCAGCAATTGTGTCTGGAATGACTCATTGAATACTTATAATAGACATTGACATTACAATCGTAAAAAATGTTTAAAATTCACTCAATATTCAATTTTATTGTGTAGTTAATAAGTTGTTTAAGGATGAAAATCGAATAGCACATAATTTATACGTTGCCTTGATTGTAATATTATCTATCAATTATTGCCTTTGTGACAACTTGACAAGTTGGTGTGATTTCCATGCACCAAGGGTTAGGTTCTCGCATACAAAAAGTTTTTTCTTGTTGTACCAAACTTCTCGCAGATAGAGTGATAGACAAGAGATTTTAAATCTTTTTGAAAACCCTTTATACCTACCCGAAGAGTTAATTCAAAATCCTGTACCTTTGTAAAGCAAACTTTTACAGAAAATTTTATTGAATTACTACTTTACTCAGACAAGCATATTTTCAGGCAGGATAAAAAACAGTGTAGTTATTATTCAGCAAAAGTCTGATATTCCCTCTTGTACCAACCAGGATGAGAGAGAAGTTAATGATTACTTAAACTGTACCTAAGCAACGATTTTGTTCAGAAAACTAAGACAACGTTTCGCCATACCACTAAATCACCGAGTATAGTGGTTAGTTTTAAAGAAAAAGCAATTTATCAAGGACAAATTTAATAGTAAAGAGTAAAAAACTTTGAATGTTTTCATAACATAAATATAACTTGTCAAGTATACAAAGCTAGGTCCGTTTGAGTGACTGCCAATACTCCATAGTACCGGATACAACAATCCTACGTGGCTAGCAACACAACTAACTTATTGCGCAAATCAAAACAAAACCGAAATGATCGTTTGTTTCCTTTCTGCCATTCGATAGACATTTATAATGTTTATTTATTACTCTTACTTGTATTTCCGTGTGAATTGTTATTTTTTTGTGTATCAAGAATTTTCTGTCGTGAATTCCAATTAGAGGTTTTTTTGCATACACATCAAATTAAGGACGGACAAGGAATATTGTCTTGTAAAAAAAATGAGGTGGGAAACACCCAATCCTAGCTATTCTATCCGGACTTCGACTCTTCTATGAATACAGAGATTTGTAATATTAGACTTTAAAGTGGATTAAAGCATTCCAAACTTCATGCTCAAACGCCAATAACAATAATACTCCGAGCATCCTAGAGACGCAGAAGGATCGGATTGGTTTTTAGTCAAGCATCCTAGAGACGGGGTAATAGGTGAGTGCGCACCTGTCCCTTCTCGGACTCGGAACAGGAGAAGCAACAAAGTGGCCAATAAGAGTCTAACAATCATTCTCGCCCCACCCAGGACAGAAATCTCAGAAGAAATCAGCCACATCAAACAAAAGAAATCACCCGAAAAAAGCCAAATTCCAGTCGTTGGCAACCGCATTTTCTCCAACATAGCTCCGAGGAGAATATTTGAAAAATAACAACAATGACTTAAACAGGCCTCATACCAACTAACAATAATATGGTATCGTAAGCCATGTTTGCATAATAATGACGTAGTGCCAAAATATCGTATCATTTGTTTAGCCTCTTGAACAAATGAAATATATAAACTAACAATAAGACCTTTGTACAACAACAAAACACAATACTTAATTGAAAATTATAAATCGAACATTCCATTATGGCTGACCAAGTTCCAGAACATATTCGAATTACAAAAACCTCTTTTTTTTAATTCAAAACAATAG